TTTGTATTAGGGCCTCGGAATTAATTTTCACAGTAACCTTATTTAGTTTTTTCTTTTTTGAGAAAATCTATGAACCCATGTTTTTTCTTTCTGATACAGTGTAAGGTCTGTAAATTTTAATAATTTATTCAAGGTGTCTCCTTTATTTAATCAGAAAGAAAAAACATAAATCACATATTACAGATATGAGCAATGAAACATAATATTAGATAACCTTGAAACATATAATGGATAATGTGTGATTGTTTTAAACAATCCTTTCTCAGTAAGTTGAAACTCGGAAAACAAAAATCCATTGAAAGATACCAACTGACCAGGCTCACTCAAGAGATCTGAAAAATCCTCTACTAAAGATATTTAATACATATATCTATATCTGTATATCTATATATCTCTTAGAGAGAAAGAATAAGTCATATTCTAGTGAGAGTTGTTAGGATTTTTTTTTTTTTCTTTTTATTGAGACGGAGTCTCGCTCTGTTGCCAGGCTGGAGGGCAGTGGCGTTATCTCAGCTCACTGCAAACTCCGCCTCCTGGGTTCAAGCAATTCTCCTGCCTCGTGATCCTGAGTAGCCGGGATTACAGGTGCACACCACCATGCCCAGCTAATTTTTGTATTTTTAGTAGAGACAAGGTTTCACCGTGTTGGCCAGGATGGTCTTGATCTCTTGACCTCATCATCTGCCTGCCTCGGCCTCCCAAAGTGCTGGGATTACAGGCGTAAGCCACCGCACCCAGCCTCGAGATTTGCTAGGATTTTTAAAGTTGGTTTAACAATAGAAAATCTATTAATCTAGTATATTAAATACAAGCTGTGGTGTAATAATAAATATATCTGGATCTTTGTCCCAGGCTTAGTGCTACAAAAATCTTGTAATTCTTTGAGTGAGAGGAGTGTATTTTTTATACTAACGAAGTGATTCATTTTAGACTCCTAGAAAGGTTCAGAATGGGGGCTCTTCATCAGAAAGACCAACCATGTAATAAGAGGGTTGAAACTTTGAGCCAGATTGACCTTTGGGGAGAGGAAAGGAACTAGAGATTGAAGTCAGCCATGTGGTTGTGATTTAATCACAGCTACAAAATGAGATACCCCCTCCTCATTCCTCCCTACCAACTTAGAACTCTTGACGCAGAGGCTTGGTGGAGTTTCCTGGTTGGTGAACATGATGTACCAGGAGGGTAATGTGCCTTGACTTTGTGGGGAGAAGGTGTGGAAACTTCACATCTAACCAATAACTAGAACATTTTTAAAAAATTCTCAAATGACCATCCATAGGTGAATGAGTAATTGTATTAATTTTCTAGGGCTGCCATAACAAAATACCACAGACTGGGTGGCTCAAACAACAGAAATTAATTTTCTAACAATTCTAAAGTCCAAGATTAAGATGCTGGCAGTGTTGGATTTCTCTGAGGCCACTCTCCTTGGCTTGCACATGGCTGCCCTCTTTGTCTCTTCACAAGGCCATCACTCTATGCATGTGTACCCCTGGTGTCTGTGTGTCTTAATTTCTTATAAGGGCACTGGTCAGATTAGGGTCCAACCTAATGGACTGATTTCAACTTAATTACCTCTTTAAAGTCCTACCTCCAAATACATCACATTTCGAGCTACTACGGGATTAGGATTTCAGCGTATACATTTTGGGTATACACAATAATGTCCATGGCAGCAATCGATTGTAGCATCTCTATGAAGTGGAACACTATCCAGCAATATAAAAGGATGTCTATACATAATATGGACGAATCTCAAAAGCCTTAAGCTTAGTGAAAGAAGCCAGATGCAGATGATTGCATGTAGTATCATTCAATTTATGTAAAAATCTAGAAAAAGAAAAATCAGAGTGGAGCAAGAAGGCCAAAGAGAAACCTTCATCAATTTTCTCCTAACAGGAACACCAGCTGAACAACTACTCATGCAAGAAAGCACATTCATAAGAACCAGAAAACTAGATGAGTTATCAGAGTACCTGATTTTAACATAATGTCAAGAAGAAAGGCATTGAAGTGGGTAGGAAAGGCCTTGCATTGCCCAAACCACCCCTTCCCCATCCCTTGGCAGACCAACATGCAAAGAAAAATCTGTGTGCTTATAGAAGAGAGCGTGAAGTGTGTGTGGGACTTTGCATTGGAACCGGTGCTGCCCAGGCATGGAAGAACACAACACGGCACAATTCTACTTGTGCCCATGGAGAGAGCATTTAGACCAGCCTGGGGCCAGAAGCAAATCCTCAACCCCCGTGAAAGGAACCTGAGTCTCAGCTGGCACCACCAACAGCTGACTGAAGTGGCCTGGGGCCCAGAATAAGTTTGAGTGGCAATTAGGTCACAAGGACTGCAGTCCTTGGGCAAGCCCTGGTGCAGCAGTGGTCTCTAAGGCTGTGGACTTTAGGTGCATGTGACCCAGTATGACACCAGCTGTAGCAGCCAAGGGAGTGTGCCATACCCCTCCCCCAACTCCAGTCCTGTGCTGGTCGTAGAGTCTATGGGTTTAGATTAGCATTACTGTGATGCCAGCTGTGATGAACACAGGAGTCCCTGTCACCTCTCCCCCAATTACAGGCAGCCTGGTATATATAGAGAGAGTTCTTATACTTGGGGGAATGAGAGAGAAGAGAGTGGGTTCTGGGAACCCAGAACATTTTCTTCTCTTTCCCGCATGTATCTAGTCTGGGTATCTAGGAGTCTGCAAGATTTATTGCATACTTGGGATTATGGTACCCTCTAGTGCTGAAATGGCTGCAGTGACTACAGCTTAGGCAACTCAGCACTCAGTACCCTTTGAATTCTTGGAAGGCCCTCTGAAGAAGAATGGGTACAAGCAAAGCCAGACTGTGAAGACTGGAATAAATAAACTCTTCAGTGTTCAGTCATATACAAATATCCACAAGTATTGAGAACATTCAGGAAAATGTGATCTCATCAAATGGACTAAATAAGCTGCCCAGTGACCAACCCTGGAGTGATAGAGATCTATCAGACAGGGAATATCTTTCAGACAGGGAATTCAAAATATCTGTCTTGAAGAAGCTCAAAGAATGTCAAGAAAACATGAAGAATTCAGAATTTTAGCAGAGAAATTTAACAGAGATTGAAATAATTACAAAAAACAAAAACAAAAACAAAAAAACCCCAGAAATCCTAGAGCTGAAAAAGACAATGGATGAACTGAAAAATACTTTGGAATATAACAACAGCATAATTGATTAAGCAGAAGAATTTGTTAGTGGCCGGGCGCGGTGGCTCACGCCTGTAATCCCAGCACTTTGGGAGGCCGAGACGGGCGGATCATGAGGTCAGGAGATCGAGACCATCCTGGCTAACACGGTGACACTCCGACTCTACTAAAAATACAAAAAAACTAGCTGGGCGTAGTGGCGGGCACCTGTAGTCCCAGCTACTTGGGAGGCTGAGGCAGGAGAATGGCGTGAACCTGGGAGGTGGAGCTTGCAGTGAGCCGAAATCGCGCCACCGCACTCCAGCCTGGGTGACTGAGCAAGACTCCATCTCAAAAAAAGAAGAAAGGGACGCGGTGGCTCACGCCTGTAATCCCAGCACTTTGGGAGGAGGCGGGCGGATCACAGGTCGGAGATCGGACCCGGTGAACCCCGTCTCTACTAAATCAAAAATAGCGGGCGCGGTGTGGCGCCTGTAGTCCCAGCTACTCGGGAGCTGAGGCAGAGAATGCGTAACCCGGAGGCGAGCTTGCAGTGAGCCGAGATCGCGCCACTGCACTCCAGCCTGGGCGACAGAGCGAGACTCCGTCTCAAAAAAAAAAAAAAAAAAAAAAAGAAGGAGAAGAAAAAAAAAAGAATTTGTTAGCTTAAATCCAGGCTATTGAAAATACAGAAGAGAAAAAAGAAAAAGAACTGTGCTTAAAAGATACAGAAAATAGCCACAAAAGGGCAAGTCTAAGAGTGATTTAAAAGGGTGTAGAGAGAGATGTAGGGATAGACAATTTATTCAAAGAAATAATTATACTTTCAAATGTATGTATATACACAGACACACACACACATACATATATACACACATATATGCATATATATATGTATATATGAATATCCAGGTATAAGAAAGTCAAAGAATGCCAACCAGATTCAACACAAGACATATAACAATCAAACTCTCAAAGGTCAAAGACGTAAAAGAGGAAAGGTAGCAAGAGAAAAGAAACAAATAACATATAAAGGAACTCCAGTACATCTGGCAGCAGTCTTCTCAGCAGAAATCTTGTAGGCCAGAAGAAAGTGAGAAGACATATTTAAAGTGCTGAAGGAAACCATTTTCAACCAAGAATATTCTAGTCATCAAATATATTCTTCAACCATGAAGGAGAAATAAAAGCTTTCCCAGCAAACAAAAGCTGGGGGAATTCATCAATACCAGGTCTGTCTTACAAGAAATAGTAAAGAGAGTTCATCATTCTGAAAGAAAAGAATGCTAATGTGCAACAAGAAATCATCTGAAGGAATGAAACTTACTGGCAAAAGTAAATAGACAAATTGAGAATATTCTAATACTGTAGTTGTGGTGTGTGAACCCCTCATATCTTTAGTATAAGCACTAAAAAAAAATAATGAGGGCTGGGCGTGGTGGCTCACACCTGTAATCCCAGCACTTTGGGAGGCCAAGGCAGGTGGATCACGAGGTCAGGAGATCAAGACCATGCTGGCTAACACGGTGAAACCCCGTCTGTACTAAAAATACAAAATATTAGCCAGGCATGGTAGCGGGCACCTGTAGTCCCAGCTACTTGGGAGGCTGAGACAGGAGAATGGCGGGAACCCGGGAGGCAGAGCTTGCAGCGAGCCGAGATTGCACCACTGCACTCCAGCCTGGGCGACAGAGCGAGACTCCGTCTCAAAAAAAAAAAAGCAAAAAACAAAGATGAAAATTATAAGCTATGTTACAACATGGAAACCTTGAAGACATTAAGGGAAATAAGCCTCAAAATGAGTCACAAAAGACTAAAACTTATCTGAGATATTTAAAGTAGTAAAATTCATACAGTAGTAGTAGTCAGGGGCCGGAGTAGGGAATGAGGAGGAGTGGTTTAAAGCAGCGGTCCCCAACCTTTTTGGCACCAGAGACTGGTTTCATGGAAGCCAATTTTTCCACGCATCAGGGACAGAGAAGGGGGCAGATAGTTTCAGGATACAACTGTTCCACCTCAGATCATCAGGCATTAGAGTCTCATAAGGAGCACACAACCTAGATCCCTCACATGCACAGTTCACAATAGGACTCACGCTCCCATGAGAATCTAATGCTGCTGCTGATCTGACAGGAGGTGGAGCTCAGGTGGTGATGCTGGCCCGGTTCCTAACAGGCCACAGACTGGTACCAGTTTGCAGCCTGGGGGTTGTGGGCCCCTGTTTTAAAGGGTATAATATTTTAGTTTCGTAAAGTTGAAAAAACTACTGGATATTAATTGACAACAATGTGACTGACTGAACGCTACTGAACAGTATAGTTAAATATGGGTTAAGATGATAGATTTTAAGTTACCTATAATTTGCTACAATTTATTTTATTATTTATTTTTTTTTAAGAGTGTCTCACCCTGTCACCCAGGCTGGAGTGCAATGGAACAATCTCAGCTCACTGCAACCTCTGCCTCCTGGATTCAAGTGATTCTCCCTGCCTCAGCCTCCTGAGTAGCTCCTGAGTAGCTCAGCCTCCTGAAGGATTACAGGCACCCGCCACTATGCTTGGCTAATTTTTGTGTTTTTAGTAGAGATGGGTGCTTCCCCATGTTGGCCAGGCTGGTCTCAAACTCCTGACCTCAGGTGATCCGTCCACCTCTGCCTCCCAAAGTGCTGGGATTACAGGCGTGAGCCACACGTCTGACCATAATGTTTTTAACATAGTTCCCAGCAGGAAATCCTCGCAGATTTCTGTCTGAACTCTTTCAACATTAGATTTACATATACTAATAGGTTCTTCCTCTGATGTGAACTTTTTCATGCTGAATGAGGTGACGATTTTGGTGACTTTCCTGCATTCACTGCCCTAAGCCCTTTCTCCAGTGTGAATTCTCTGATGTTTAATGAGGCTGGAATTGTATTTAAACACTTTGCTGCATTCACCACACTCATGAGACCTTTCTCCAGTGTGAATTTTTTGGCACTGACCATTATTACATTTGTTGCTGAAGTCTTTTCCACATTCCCTTAACTTAAAAGGACTTTCTCCAGTGTGAGACTGCTGATGTGTAATAAGGCTCGATTTAATCCTAAACAATTCCCCACATTTATTGCACTCATGAGGCTTCTCCCCATTGCAAACTTTATGATGTTTAATGAATGTAGAGCAGTATCTAAGAAACTTCCCACAGTTGCTGCACTCATAAGGCTTTTCTCCCGTATGAACTCTCTGATGAATAATGAGTTTGTTGCTATCTCTAAAAAATTTCCCACATTCACTACACTCGTAAGGTCTTTCTCCAGTGTGAACTTTCTGATGTCTATTCAGTGTATAACGATATCTAAAGAATTTCCCACATTTGCTGCATTTATAAGGCTTTTCTCCAGTGTGAATTCTCTGATGAATAACAAGTTTGTCGCTGTCCAAAAAGAATTTCCCACATTTGCTGCATTCATAAGGCCATTCTCCAGTATGGATTTTCTGGTGACCATCAAGATAAGCCTGTGTAAGGAAGGCCTTCCCACATTCACTACACCCATAAGGCCTTGGCCTGATGTCAATCCTCTCGTGTTGAATGAGGTCATACCTTTTTGAAAATGCTTCAGTGTGGATTTTCTGGTGCTGAACTAGGTGGGACTTTCTAACAAAGGCCTTCCCACATTGAGTGCACTCATAAGGCCGTTCTCCAGTGTGAATTTTCAGGTGCTGAACAACATTATGTTTGAGGCTAAAGGCTTTCCCACATTCATTACACTTATAAGGCTTTTTGCCAGTATGAACTCTCTGGTGCATATTGAGTGTGGAGCGGTGACTAAAGAATTTTCCACATATGCTGCATTCAAAAGGCCTTTCTCCTGTATGAACTCTCTGATGTCTACCAAGTGTGGAGCTGTCCATAAACAATTTCCCACATTTGCTACACTCGTAATGCCTCTCCCCAGTGTGAACTTTCTGATGTCTAATGAGTTTAGAGTTATACATAAAAAATTTCCCACACTTGTTGCATTCGTAGGGCTGTTCTCCAGTATGGATTTTCTGGTGACCAACCAGATGAGCCTGTGTAAGGAAAGCCTTCCCACACTGGGTGCATTCATAAGGTGTTGGTCTACTGCGAATCTCCTGATGTTCAATGGGGTCAGACCTTTTTGAAAGAAAGCCTTCAGTGTGAATTTTCTGGCGCTGAACTAGGTTGTACTTTCTAATAAAGGTCTTTCCATATTCAGTGCCCTCATAAGGCCTTTCTCCAGCATGATTTTGCTGATATTTAATAAGGTTGGAGTTGTACCTAAACAATTCCTCACATTCACTGAACTCATAAGGCCTCTCCCCATTATGGGTTTTTTGGTGCTCAAACAGCCTGTGTTGGTGGCAAAAGTCTTTCCCACCTTGGCTGGAGTTGAAATCATTCTGTTTACCTTGAAAGTTTTCCCCATTCTGAGTATCCCTGTATAGCTTCCGCCCACTGTTCAAGACATGTTGCTGGAGAAGGTCTGAGCTGGCAGTAAAATCCCTGCCACCCTGTGTGCATGTGAAGTTCCTCTCTCCCCTGTGAGCACTGCAGTTCACAAATGAAGGCCTCCACTCATCACTTCTGGTGAGCTTCTCTCTAGCCTGCTCCTTTTGCTGCAGGTCATGCTCTGCTGCACATGTGTCCAGCCCTTGCTCAGGGTGTGTTCCATCGTGCTCAGCCAGGTGCAGAACATCCTTCAGAAGTGAGCTACATGTCTTGCAGGGCTGGGCCTTCAGGGTGGGCAAAGCTGGCTTTGGAGCTGTGACCTGTAACACTCTTACAGAAACACATTGCTTGGAAAGTACCTCCTCATCCTTGGCTCCATGCCAACAACCTATAAGAACAGAAATGCTGGTGAAGTGCATGTGAACTCTGGAGGGAGGAGGCAGCCCCATCACAAATGTCCGTGAGACACACCCACAAATGAGGGCACAGGATTGGTCACAGGCAAGGAAATAAGGCCAGTGAGAAGAAGGCCCACTGTTCCGAGGTGGGCCTGTCAAGTGTGTGTAGTGGGGGAACCCTGGTGGTAAGGACACAAGGGAGAAGTACCAAGCAGGGAGGGCAGGCGGGGTCTCCAACTCGCTTCTCTACAAATGGCTTTCAACGGGCCATGACTGTTGTGTCCAGATCCAGAGAGATCTGATTGTGTGAGAGCGAGTATTCATGGACTACTGAAGGATACATGCAGACCTCACAACACCTAAAGTACAGGTCATACATTAGACAGCACTGCAAAGGGAGTGGTGGCAGAGAATGGTGGAGAGATGCAGGCTGGATAGGAGGGGTCAGAGGTGGAAGCCAGGGGTTGGAAGTCAGAGTAAAAATAACAACAGGGAAGGAAAAGAAGAGTGAGGGGTGGCCGGTGGCCCTGCATCAAACAATAGTGGTCACAAGGAAGTTCTCAATGTGATCTGAACCTAGCCCTGATATCACATCCTTTCCCAGCTTTCACCCACCAGGGCCAAGTCCTTCTGAGTGTCTCTTGCCATTAATAGAGGACTATCCACTCCGCCAGGCACCCAGAGACCTCCCCCTTGCTCAAGGTGAGCAACTATCTAGCTGCGGCATAAATCAAGCTAGGGGAAAGGCAGGGAAAGGGAGGGGCAGCATGTACACAGAGCAATAAACGCAGGACACGCTGCATTCTAAAGTTACCAGAACATACAGCAGAGTCCTGCAGAAATAACTTCACAATCCTCACAAGTGGTGACCAGGGAGGTACCTGAAATTCCTAGCACAGACACTGTCTCCAAGTATGTCAGCAAGGGGAACAGGGAAACCCTTGGATGGAGGTTTCATGCATCTGGACAGAGTAATCAAATCAGGGACAGGCACCACCATTAGGGTATCTTAAAGAAACCTGGGCTGGGCGCGATGGCTCACGCCTGTAATCCCAGAACTTTGGGATGCCGAGGCGGGCGGATCACCTGAGGTAGGGAGTTCGAGACCAGCCTGACCAACATGGAGAAACCCCGTCTCTACTAAAAATACAAAATTAGCCGGGCGTGGTGGCGCATGCCTGTAATCCCAGCTACTCAGGAGGCTGAGGCAGGAGAATCGCTTGAACTTGGGAGGCAGAGGTTGTGGTGAGCCGAGATCATGCCATTGCACTTCAGCCTGGGCAACAAGAGTGAAACTCCGTCTCAAAAACAAAAACAAAAACAAAAACAAAAACAACCCTCAAGATTTCTGACTTCCGAGCCTTATCGTGTAAAGTTTCAGAGCAACAGAAGCTGGGGCTGCCTAAGGGGAGGTAGTACAGTATATACAGCCCAGCTCTGGCTGCCTCATCACATTTGCCAGGAAACCAGGAGAGGACAGGACATAGCACCCACAATCTGGTGTGAGAAACACAGAGTTGTCATGGAAAAGAGCAAAAAAACAGCACCCAGCACAAGACACCAGAGTAGGTATGAAGGCCTTACCTACTGATGACAAAAGTGCAAAGTTCTCCAACATCACATTGCTGTGCAGGTGTCTCTGAGCATCATTAAGGATCCCCCATTCCTCCCGGGAGAAATATATGGCCACATCCTCAAAGACCATACACTCCTGCCAAAATTATGACACTTCAGTCTGTGAACAACTTCTTCTTCTGTGTTTCCTTAGATCTGTATTTATCTACTAAAAATCTGAGAATTGGAGGGCCAAACTAACAGCCAATGTTTTTATATTTCCCTTGCAATCCAGATCCCATATGCTGAACCACTATCTAATGCTCATACATGATTACTTCTCCTGTCCTAATCAACACAAGCCCTGTCACCACACAATAAAGGATAATCTCTAAGCCCTAAGGCTGCCAGACTTATGCAAACCACTAAGTTTGAAGCTCCTCATCCCGCCTTGCATGTCTTTCCTGCCAAAACCCCAATACGGTCTCTGATGTATGCTTTCCCTTCAGTCATGCCTCTGCCTCCTGACCAAATCTAGCATTTCCTGTGGCCTGGTGCAGCATGGCATTCCCCCTGCACTAAGGAAATGAAAGTAATAAAAATTATTTCAATGCCATTAGCCTCTCTGTCATCACTCACTCTTCCAAAAATTAAAATCCAGTGGGCCAATCACTGATACACTTTCCTCTCCAGAATCTTCAGTGCTTCCCCAATACCCACACATATCCATCCCCTGCTTAGCCTCCACCCATTTCCCAAGGAGGAAGAGACTCCACATCCTGGTAGCATCTGCACTTCTCTCACCCCCACTGCTACTGATTGCTGAGTCCAGCACAGCTCAGAGATGGGTGGGGAGAAAGCAAAAGCATCATCAAAGCCTAGCCCAGGGCGCCTATCTTCTTCTTCTTCTTTTTTTTTTGAGAGGGAGTCTCGCTCTGTCGCCCAGGCTGGAGTGCAGTGGCTCACTGCAACCTCCCAGGTTCAAGCAATTCTCCTGCCTCAGCCTCCTGAGTAGCTGGGATTACAGGCACCTGCCACCACTCCTGGCTAATTTTTGTATTTTCAGTAGAGACGGGGTTTCACCATGTTGGGCAGGCTGGTCTCAAACTCCTGACCTCGTGATCTACCCACCTTGGTCTCCCAAAGTGCTGGGATTACAGACGTGAGCCACTGCGCCTGGCCAGCCCTACCTTCTTTTATCACCCCGTTTCCTTGGGGTCTCCAGATCTTGCCTCCCAGACACCCAAACTTAGACTCACTCTTCTCCCTTATGTGCCCATTGCCAGGGCTGGGGCCATGCATTCACGCTCCTCCTCACCTTCACATCTCGCTTTGGACAGTACATCTCTCATGTATCTAACTCCTCCACTCTTGCAATACTAACAGCAGCCCTGGCCCAACCAGGAGCATTTCCATGGCCTCTCAAGATGCCATTCTGTACATGGAGTCCTGCAGTGCACCAGAACCTATTTGCCTCTGGGCTGCCCAGAATGTAACGTTCCTAGTGCCTGGGGCAGCACCAAGCACTGTTCTGAAGGTCTCCCTTCCCAGTCCCGTTTCCTGGTTTAACCTCAGCCCCCTAAACCCAAGTGACAACCTCACAGTTCTTGTATACCTCCTCTGAGTTCCAGATCTTGGCTGTCTCCCTCTTTTGCACTGTACATGCTGTCCCATAAGCAGTCACAACCTTCTCTATCCCCGTAATCCTAATCCAAAGCCCAGATACACTGACCTCCCCAATGCTATCCCCACCCCAGGCCTAGCAATGCTCCTTGCTGATTGCATCTTCCCCTAAAGTAGTCTCACAGTTTGCATGAAACTACCCAGGTCCAAGCAAGACTTGCCACAAAACCCTGGTGAGTTTGTGGAGATGCCTCACCATCCACCTCATGACTCTCCCCTCAAAAGCCCTTCCTTATACTCCACAGGCCGCCCCCAACATAACACACAAACATACACGCATACCTTCAGTCGATCCACTCTCATCTGTCTTTGTGATACCCACCAACACCATCCAGGTGCCCAGTGGAGACACCCAGTCCTCAGTCTGTTCCTTCTCCTTCCTTCCCACTAACACCATTGCTTCCTAAGTCTGACCTAGTTTCACAACAGTTCAGCTATCATGTAGTGGATGTCTCCATCCTGAACACCTCCACTGAACTCCATTCCTGTGTGTACAACTGCCAGCCTGACACCTCCACTCAAAGTCTCTGAAACATTTTTTGTGTATTTTTGTTTTTGTTTTGGCTTCGATTTTTGTTTTTGTTTTGGCTTGGTTTTTTGAAGACAGGGTCTTACTCTGTTGCTCAGGCTGGAGTGCAGGGCACAATCATGGCTCATCGCAGCCTTTACTTCCCAGGCTCAGGTGACCCTCCTGCCTCAGCATGCCGATTAGCTGAGACCACAGACAGACGCCACCACACCCAGCTATTTATTATTATTTGTAGAGACAGGGTCTCCCTATGTTGCCCAGGCTGACCTCAAGCGATCTTCCACCTCTGCCTCCCTAAGTGCTGGGATTACAGGTGTGATCCACCATGCCTGGCCACTGGAACATTTTTTACTTGGCCAAAACTTGGTTCCTCATATGCTCTACTACGTAAACACTCCCCCTACTACAGAACTTACTACATCTTAGTTGCTGGAACATCCATCCTTCCAAACAAGGCCAAAACTGTGGGGCCATTCCTGACCCCCTCTGCCATCTCAGCTCCCAAGCTTCCTTGCTCTCTACATTATAAAATACAGGCAGCTCTAGATCAAACACATACAGAAGCCCCCCACTCCTCCCACCTCCACCACCGCCACTCTCGTTCAGTCACCAACAACCTCCACCTGGACTGTTGCTGGACCAATCACCCAGGTATCTGTGGCTCCATCCTCACCCCCACATGGTCTTCCATTCTGCAGGCAGAGGGAGCCACTAAAATCTGGGTCAGGTCACCTCTTTTTCCCCCTGCTCAAACTTTCCCCAGTTACCATCACCCTCAGATGAAAAGCCCAGAGCCTTAGACTGACGTTCCATGCTGATCCCTGCATGCCCCAACCTCCTACCCTGCTGCCATACTCTATCACGACCAGATGGAACATGAATTTTCAGTTCACTAAACATCCCAGCTAAGTCTCACCAGTAAGCATTTGAACTTTCTATATCCTGTGCCTGAATGCCCTGCCACATCTTAGACCATTAGTTGTCGGAACCAGGACCACTCTATAACCAGGGGCTGAGTTCTGACCCCTGGTTGTGGTGGAACCACAGTCTTCAGACCCAAGGAAGGGAAAAACATGAAGTTTCAGGACACCACCTTTCCCTATATCAGCATGCCTAAAATATTGGAGAGATAAGTAGTGGGGGACTGGGGGAGAGAGCCTGAGAAACCATTGACTTACCTGTGCAGGGTCCTTATGCATTGCTGCCACTGCCATGGACCCTGTGGGAAGATGTGACAGACTTGTACAGTTACTACTTGAGACCATCATTACGAGACTGAATGAAGGGGGACGAATGTAGAAATGAAAACTTAAGACAAAAGAAACTGTTTTAAAGAAGGCGAACCGAGGAAGAAGAGAGCTCCCTGCTTCTAGTGAGCAAAGGCAGCCCCTGAGCTTCCACAGCCCTCCGCATTTATTGGATAGAATGAAAAGGAGGAGGAGGTAACGACTGGTCAGCCGCTTAATTGATCACAAGTTCACATTGTTAACAGGCTTCAATTATGCCTAATCACAAGAAATTCACTTGTGCCTGGGTTGTGACTACCTTCAGCATTCCTTCTGGGGAGCAGACGCAGTTTGTCAGTTTGCCAACATCCTGCTTTCATGAGAAACAGTTTGCTGTTTACTCACATAGCCTCCAGTGGTATACTCAGTTGATCACAACCCTCATTCTTTTGGCCTGTAACAAGGAAGAGGCAAGCCATGAGTATCAGGACAGTATTGCAGCATCCTACAGGCTGAGCTGTACAACCATCTCTGCCCTGTACTGGAGCAAAGTAATCTGAAGTTACAGCAAGTCCTAAGTTCAGTGCTGCCTCTTAGCAGCTCTGTGTCTTTGGACAAGGACTGAACCTCTCTAAACCTCAGTGCCCTTATGTGTAAAATGGAGATTAAAAGGGTTCCCACTTCATAGGGCTCATACTGACAAGAAGCATAAGTAGTACACACTATGTATAAGCATTACTTTCTATAGGATTAATGGTTTTGTACATGTTTTCAGCACAAATGAAGTAGAAGGGTTTCAAAAATTTGAGTATTTTTCCCACTTTTTTTTTTTTCTTGAGACAGGGCCTTGCCCTGTTGCCCAGGCTACAGTGCAATGACACAATCTCGGCTCACTGGTCCGCCTCCCAGGTTCAAACGATTCTCCTGCCTCAGCCTCCCGAGCAGCTGGGATTATAGGCTCCCACCACCACGCCCGGGTAATTTTTGTATTTTTAGTAGAGACGGGGTTTCATCATGTTGGCCAGGCTGGTCTCAAACTCCTGTCCTCGTGATCTGCCCGCCTTCGTTTCCCAAAGTGCTGGGATTACAGGTGTGAGACACTGTGCCCAGCCCCCACTTCTTAATGTTTTAAGGAAATGTGATATATAAAAAGATTTGTACTATAAGCAGAGTTACAGGTAAATTAACATTCTAACAATAAATATTTTACTACGTTTAAATTATTGATTACATCTATTTCCAATTGCCTATGTGTACATATTTAGAAGGATATTGGCTGAGAAACAAACAAACAAAAATAGCCCAGAGCTGTCTGACCTACACAAAATGTATCAGGCTCAGAGAGGCAAGAATATGAGATGTTAGTCACATCCCTGAACCGATGCCTGAGAACAACTGTTTACAGACATTTTGTTCCTGACTAGCTGTCTCACCTATTATCTTCGTGTTTCTGTAATCTATAATATAAAGAACAACGTATAGCCAATAAAAACTTACGTTACTTTAACATAAGTTATTGGTAAACAACTCAGAAACTGCTCCTTTTTTCCTTAAAAAAAAAAAAAAAGTCACTGCTGCTAACTGAAGTGTATATTCAGGACAACTTGAATCTAGGGTCTCAGATGGCTATTATCAACATGTGAACTCTCTTTAAACTAGATTCTGACTTGCTTGGTTATTTAAGATTGATACAGTTCATTAGTGTTTAAGTCAATTACCTGTTTTTACATCCCTAAGTTACTGAGTTGCAGGATGGGGCTGAGCAATCAATCAGTTACTGGTCCGTTCAGCAAACAAGTCTGCCTGCCATATAATTCAGTAAAGGGAGCTTGCTGGAGGCCCTTAACTGTGGTGGAGGATATGAGAAAGCCCTGCCTAGTTTTGGACCCACTTGCTTCATGGCCTTATCTTGTTCCCCAAAGAGTGGCCCTCAGGGCTGGCTGAGTTAGAAGGGTGGAGTGACTACAATATCTCATGCCTCAGTCCCTGGAGTCCAGGGCAACTCCTTATCCATCCAGGCCTCTTTTTCAACAGAAACAGACCAAACTCTTAGCCCGTATCTGCTCCCTTCTGCAGGGAGTATCAGAGATGTCCTCCCTACCATGGTCTTTCCTCCAAATCTGAGCCCTCCCCTCCCTCAGCCCATACTAAAAAACAATGTTAGGATTCTTCCTTCTCAATCTGATCCACAGGCCAGCTTCTCAAGTGCACAACTTCTAACTCATTTAAAGCTCCAGGCCAGCTACCTTCCTTGACCTTTAGAAATTACGTCCACCTACCCATGTGATGTCACCCAAAATCCAACCCAGGATCTTCTGTCTGAAACTTGCTCCTTAAGCTGATATCTTTAATTCCATTCTTTCAGATTTTTCAGGCCAAAACAAAACCTACGGAAGACACCCTTCACTACCGACTTTCCTTCACAGCTGTTTGATGCAGCAGGAAATCCTCTGAGATCCATCCAGAATCTCATCACATCTCCCCTCTACTGCAACTCCTCTGGCCCAGCCCTACCATAACTCAAAGGGGTCTCCTCGGCGGTCCCCCTGCCCCCGTTCAACATCCTGTTTTCCCCAACTTTAAACTTTCTAACTTTGGGCGTGACCCTCCCATTCGTCCTCCCTGAACAGCCCTCTAAGGCTTTCTGCGGCTCCACCGCCCTTCCAGGGGAGACTCCGCCTCATCCTCTGCTCCTTGGAGACAAAGACGCTCGGGCTCCCCAGTGCCTCCCGTTCTGCAGTGCCTCCAAGCCCCAGAGACGTGTCGGTCTCCGACGGGAGCTCCCCCGACTCATTGCACGGCAGACCCAGTCCCGGGCACCCCACACAAGAACGCCCCTCTCTTAGAGACACAAGGGCCTAACCTGCAGGGCCCCTCCTTGGGACTTCAGCACTGGGAGGAGGGGTTGGGCGAGGCGGCCTGGGACGCTGCACGCACCTCGGTCAGGTTCATCGGCGCGGCCTCCTCCGGTCCAGCCAGCGAAGAGCGGGGCGGGAACGGCGGTCACCTGGACGCTGACGGAGGCAGGGGTGCCTGCAGCCGACTCAGCCGATCCGCACTTTAGCCTCTGTGTAGAAGGAACACCGCTTCTCGCGTTTTTCTGCTCTGTCACCTCAGTCCGGACCCAGAGCTCTGGGACTCCCTAAATCAGTAAACGGATCTCTAGGGAGCCATGCTAACGTAACCATGAGGGCGCCGCCGGAAGTCCCGCCCACACAACTGAGACCTCATTAGTCCTCTCTCTGCTAAACCGATGGCTACAGTCGCGGCCAGTGCCCTCGCAGTGTCTTCTGGGTAGTGTAGTTCCCACGCTGCTGCCTGCCCCTCCTCATAATGTAGAGCGCGCTGACCTTACAGAAAAAAGCTGGAGGCCCCTGGAGGAGCGCTGAGAAATGCAGTTCCGGGGCTCTTAAGGACGTGGAGGGGCTTTGCTGACTCTTAAACTGCAAGTAACCAGATTTTACCAGAGGGCAGTCTAAGAAATATTTCAGAGACCTGTCGTTTCAGATTGTATTAATCCCAGCCACCAGGGAGGCTGAAGCAGGAGAATTGCTTGAACCTGGGAGGCGGAGGTTGCAGTGAGCCGAGATCGTGCCATTGCACTCCAGCCTGGGCAAAAAGAGCGAAACTCCGTCTCAAAAAAAGAAAAAAAAAAAAAAAAAAGAGATGAGATGATGACCACACAGCCCACAGTGGCAAACCATTAACATCAATTTGTGAGGACGAAATTCATCTTGTTCATGACCTAATTGAAGAAGACTGATGATTAACAGCACAAACAATAACTGACACCACAGATATCTGTATTGGTTCAGCTTACACAATTCTGACTGAAAAATTAAAGTTGTGCAAACTTTCCATTCAATGGGTGCCAAAGCCACTGAATCCAGATCAGCTGCAGACAAGAGCAGAACCTTCAATGTAAATGTTCAGCAAGTAGGATCAAGATGAAGCATTTCTTTGAAGAACTGTACAGATGAAACATGACTTTATTATTATTTGACATGGAGTTTCACTCTTGTTGCCCAGGCTGGAGTGCAATGGCGTGATCTCGGCTCACTGCCACCTCTGCCTCCTGGGTTCAAGCAATTCTCCTGCCTCAGCCTCCCCAGTAGCTGGGATTACAGGCATGCGCCACCACGCCCGGATAATTTTTGTATTTTTTAGTAGAGAAGGGGGTTTCTCCATGTTGGTCAGGCTGGCCTCAAACTCCTGAGCTCAGGTGATCTGCCCAACTCGGCCTCCCAAAGTGCTGGGATTACAGACTTGAGCCACTGCGCCCACTATAAGATTGTTTTGAGAAAGTTAGCTGAAGATTTAGCAGAAAACCCCGGGAAAGCTTCACCAGGAGTCCTTCACTAGCATGCTCCTGCTCATTCCTCTCATCAAATAACTGCAACTTTATGAAAATTCTGATGTAAAATCCTAAGGCATCCACCTTACAGTCCTGATTTGGCTCCTTCTGACTTCTTGTTTCCTACTTTTAAAAAATCTTTAAAGGGCACCCATTTTTCTTTAGTTAATATTTAAAAAGATTGCATACACAAGGTTAAATTCCCAGGAACCTCACTTCTTTAGGGATGGACTAAATGCCTGGTATTATCATTTATAAAATTGTCTTGAACTTGATGGAGCTTCTGTTGAGAAATAAAACTTATGTTTTCTTTTTGTTATCTTTTACTTTCAAGTTTCCACAAACTTTCTGAAGTCCCCACATATACTAAAAAACTCCTACATTTCAACAAAACCAAATAACCCTAGAGAAGTAAAACAAAAACAAAAACAAAAACTCAACCCAGTAGTAAAGCTACTACTTAAAATTAATAAAGTTAAAAACGATGCAACTGCTATAAAGAGTCCTCAAAAAAATTAAAATAGAATTAACATAGGATGGGAACACTGTGAGGAAGAAATTTTAAAAATTAAAAATATTTTTAAGATGAACATAGGGGGCCAGGTGAGTGGATCATGAGGTCAAGATTGAGACCATCCTGGCCAACATAGTGAAACCCTGTCTCTACTAAAAATACAAAAATTATCTGGGTGTGGTGGTACGTGCTTGTAGTCCCAGCTACTTGGGAGGCTGAGGTAGGAGAACTGCTTGAACCCGAGAGGCAGAGGTTGCAGTGAGCTGAGATCACGCCACTGTACTCCAGCCTGGTGACAGAGTGAGACTCAGTCTCAAAAAAAACAAAACAAAACATAGGAAGCACCAATTCTACTTGAGTAAATCCTCAAAAGGAATTTAAAGCACAGCCTCAAAGAAACATTTGTACACTCATGCTCATCTGCTATTAACAACAGCTGAGTGGAAACAACCCAAATGTCCACTAATGAAAGGAAAAGTGGCACATACATATATAATCATGCACTACACTTTTCAGTTAACAATGGGCCACATGCATGACAGTGGTCCCATAAAATTGCAATGAAGCTGAAAAATGCTTATTGCCTAATGACATGACAGCAGTGGTAAGGCAATATATTAATCACATGTTCATGGTGATTCTGGTACAAACAAACCTATTGTGCTGCCAGTCATATGGAAGTATAATATATGCAATAATGTACAGTATATAATAATAAATGAGTTACTAGCTTATGTTCTTAGTATACCACACTTTTTATCATTAGGTATTCTCCAACAGTAGAGTATATATGGAGTTGTGTGTATGTATATAAATATACAGGTGTATATACACACAAACACAAACTGTAACACAGCCTCGGGCAGGTCCTTCAGGAGGTATTCCAGAAAAAGGTATTGTTATTTCAGATGACAGCTCCATGTGTGTCACTGCCCCAGAAGACTTTCTGGAAGAGGATGTGAAGGTGGAAGACAATGACATTATCCTGATCCTGTCCTGGCCTAGACGAATGTGTGTATCTTAGTTTTTAACAAAAAAAGTTTAAGAAGTTAGGATATAAAAAAATTTTTGTACAGTTGTACAATGTTTTAAGCAAAACATTATTACAAAAGTCAAAAAGTCTTTAAAAATACAAGCTTATAAAGTAAAAAATGGTCAGCTAAGGTTAATATATTTAAAAAAAAATTCTATAAATTTTATTTTGTCCAGTCGGGCACAGTGGCTCATGCCTGTAATCCCAGCACTTTGGGAGGCCAAAGCAAGTGGCTCACTTGAGGTCAGGAGTTTGAGACCAGTCTGGCCAACATTGTAAGACCCCATTCTCTACTAAAAATACAAAAATTAGCGGGGCATGGTGGTGGCGCATGCCTGTAATCCCAGATACTTGGGAAGCTGAGGCAGAATTGCTTGAACCAGGAGGTGAAGGTTGCAGGAAGCCAAGATAGCCCCACCGCACTCCAGCCTGGGTAACAGAGCACGATTCTGTCTCAAAAATAAAAATAAAAATGTAGTGTTGTCTAAGCATACAGTGTCTATAAAGTCTACAGCATAGCAACAACCTAGGCCTTCACATTCACTCACCACTCACTGACTCACCTAGAGCAACTTTCAGTACTGTAAGCTCCATTCACAGTAAGTTCTCTGTATGTCTATCATTTTTTCTTTTATACTGTATTTTTACTGTAGCTTTTGTTTAGATATACTTAAAAAGAATTACCACGTGTTCCAACAGCCTACAGTATTCAGCACAGTAATATGCTGTACAAGTTTGTAGCAAGGTGCTATAGGATATACCATATAGCCTAGGCATTGATAAACCCACTCCCCCTCCAAAAAAAGAAAGAAAATCACCTAATAACACTTTTCTCAGGACACTTCCCCTTTGTTAAGCAACACATGACTGTAACAGAATTTTATTCAGCCTTTAAAAAGGATGGAAATTCTAATGGATTAGAACATGAAACCTTAAAAATATAACATTAAGCAAAATAAGCCACAAAATAATCCACAAGACCAAAACTTAAGTTTTCTTATATGAGGTACCCAGACTAGTAAAATTCATAGAGAGTGGTGCTTGTCAAGAAGCTGGGTGGACTGGGGAATAAGGTTTTAAAAGGTATAGACTTAGTTTCATAAATTGAAAAGACTTCTAGATATTCATTGCACAATGTGAATGACTAACAGTACTGAACTATACACTTTAACATGGTTATGATGTTAGATTTTATGTTATCTGTATTCTACAAGAATACTTTTTTAAAAACATAGGTCCCAGTGTTAAATCAGAGTAGATTTCTGTGTGAAGTCTTTCCATGTCTGCTTTATATACACATTCTTTATCTGGTGTGAACTTTCTGGTGCTGAATGAGATGAGAATTTTGGTTAAAGACTCTCCCACATTCACTACACTGATAAGGTCTCTCTCCAGTGTGAATTCTCCGATGTTTAATGAGGCTGGAGTTGTATCTAAAGACTTTCCCACATTCACTGCATTCATAAGGCTTTTCTCCAGTATGAACTCTCTGATGACTAATGAGTGTGGAGCTGTCCATAAAAAATTTCCCACATTTGCTGCATTTATAAGTTCTTTCCCTAGTGTGAACTTTCTGGTGCCGAATGAGGTGGGAATTTTGGCTGAAAACTCTCCCACACTCAGTGCACTCAAAAGACCTTTCTCCAAAGTGATTTCTCCGATGTCTAATATGATTTGAGTTGTGCCTAAAGAATTTCCCACATTCACTACACTCATAAGGCCTTTCACCAGTGTGAATTCTCTGATGTGTATCAAGTGTGGAGCGACACCTAAAGGATTTTCCACAAATGCTGCATTCAAAAGGTCTTTCTCCAGTGTGAACTCTCTGATGACTCTTCAGTGTACAGCTGTCCACAAAGAATTTGCCACATTCACTGCATTCATAAGGCCTCTCTCCAGAGTGAACTCTCTGATGTCTATTCAGTGTGAAGCAATACCTAAAGAATTTCCCACATTCACTGCATTCATAAGGCTTTTCTCCAGTGTGAACTCTCTGATGAATAATGAGTGTGGAAGTGTCCATAAAGAATTTCCCACATTCACTACACTCATAAGGCTTTTCTCCAGTGTGAACTTTCTGATGTCTAATGAGTGTGGAACGGTATCTGAAGAATTTCCCACATTCGTTGCATTCATAAGGTTTTTCTCCAGTATGAACTCTCTGGTGAATAATGAGTGTGCAGCTGTCCATAAAGAATTTCCCACATTCACAGCAATAAAAAGGCCTTTCTCCAGTGTGAACTTTCTGATGTCTAATGAGTGCTGAACTGTACATAAAGTATTTCCCACATTCATTGCATCCATAAGGCCGTTCTCCAGTATGAATTTTCTGGTGACCAACAAGGTGAGCCTGTGTAAGGAAAGTCTTCCCACATTCACTACACAGATAAGGCCTTGGCCTGGTGTGAATTCTCTGGTGCTGAAGTAGGTGAGACTTTCTAAGGAAAGCTTTCCCACATTCACTGCACTCATAAGGCCTTTCTCCAGTGTGAATTTTCTGGTGTTGAACAACATTATATTTGAGGCTGAAGGCTTTTCCACATTCACTACACTTATAAGGCCTTTCTCCAGTATGATTTCGCTGATGTTTAATAAGGTCGGAGTTGTACCTAAAAAATTTGCCACATTCACTGCACTCATAAGGCCTTTCCTCTGTGTGGATTTTCTGGTGCTCAAACAGCATACGCTGGTGGCAAAAGTCTTTTCCACATTGGCTGCAGCTGTAATCATTCTGTCCACTTTGAAAGGCCTCCACACCACGAGTGTCTCTGTGTGGCTTCCACCCACTGGGAAGAGCCTGTTGTTGAAGATCTGAATCACCAGTAAAATCCTTGCCACCGTGCATGCATGTGAAGTTCCTCTTTGCCAGGTGAACACTGTCATTCACAAACGAAGGCCTCCCTTCATCACTTCTGGTGAGCTTCTCTCTAACATGCTCCTTTTGGTGCAGGTAAAGCTCAGCTGTACGCTTGGGGTGTGTTCTGTCATGCTCAGCCAGGTGCAGGATGTCCTTCAGAAGTGAGCTACATGTCTCACAGGGCGGGGCCTTCTGGGTGCACAAAGCTGGCTTTAGAGTTGTGACCTGTGACACTCCTACAGAAACACACTGCTTGGAAGGTGCCTCCTCATCCTTGGCTCCATGCCAACAACCTAAGAACAGAAATGCTGATGAAGTGCATGTTGACTTTGGAGGGAGGAGGCAGCCCCCGAACAAATGTCTGTCAGACCAACTCACAAATAAGACCACGGGATTGGTGAAAGGCATGGGACACTAAAGCCAGTGAGAGGAAAGCCTTCTGGGCAGAACCGGGCCTGACAGAAACCCGTAACGAAAGTCCTGATGATGGGGAACAACATAGGGAGTGGCACAGTGCAGAGCACAGAGGCGGAGTCCCCAAGTTACTCCTCAGTAAATAGCTTTCAACAGGCCATAGCTGCTGGTGAACAATGTGTAGAAGGCTGTGTCCTGACCCAGAGAGATCTGATGTGACAGTAGAGCTGGTGTTCAGGGACGACTGAAGTATACATCCAGAACTCACAACACCTTAAGTACAGGTCACATGTTGGAGGACACTACAAAGGGAACAGAAGGGAACAGGTGGCTGGGTGCGGTGGCTCACACCTATAATCCAGAACTTTGGGAGGCCAAGGAGGGCGGATCAGCTGAGGTCGGGGCTTTGAGACCAGCCTGACCAACATGGAGAAACACCATCTCTACTAAAAATACAAAATTAGCCAGGTGTGGTGGCACATGCCTGCAATCCCAGCTATTCAAGATGCTGAGGCAGGAGAATCGCTTGAACCCGGGAGGTGGAGGTGGTAGTGAGTCAAGATCATGTGTGCCATTGCACTCCAGCCTGGGCAACAAGAGCGAAACTCCATCTCAAAAAAAAAAAAAAAGGGAACAGGTGAGAGGTGGAGGCCAAAGAGGTAGGGTCAGAGGTGGGAGCCAGAAGATGAAAGTCAAAAAAGAAATCACAATAGGGAAGAAAAGAGAGACATGCGGTGTGGCCACTGGCAGAGGCATCAAACTGGATTGATTCCCAGTGTGATGTGAACCCAGCCCTGTCATCACACCCCTTCTGAGCTCCCACTCACCAGGGCCAAGTCCTTTTGAGCATCTCTTGTCATCAATGGAGTAACGTCCACTCTGTCAGGCACCCACAGACCTCTACCTTGCTGAAGGTAAGCAACTATCTAGGTGTGGCGTTAGCCAAGCTAGGGGAAGGACAGGGAAAGGGAGGGGACAGCATGTACACAGAGCAATAAGCCCATGACATGCTGCATTCTAAAGTTACCAGAACTTCTAGTGGAAAGTCCTGCAGAAATAAGCCCACAGTCCTCACAAGCAGTGACCAGGTAGGTCCCTGAAATTCCTGACATGGGGTATCCCCCAGGTATGTCGGCAAGCAGAATGGAGAAAGCCTTGCACAGAGGAAAGTGTCATGCATTTGGACAGAGTAAACTAACCAGGAACAGGCAAGGTCATCAGGATATTCTTGAGAAATCTGAAGACTTCTGACTTTTGAGCCTCATAAGGCTTCACAGTGACAAGAGCTAAGCTTCTTAAGGAAAACTGATACAGGTCACACAGCCCAGCTGTGGCTGCCACAACACATATGCCAGGAAACTAGGAGAGGATGCAGCATCCATGATCTGGTGTGAGACAGAGCTGCCAAGGCAAAAAGTGAAAAAACATTGCTCAGCACAAGACACTGACGTAGGTGTCAGGGCCTTACCTACTGATGACAAAAGTGCAAAGTTCTCCAGCATCACATCGCTGTGCAGGTGTCTCTGAACGCCATTAAGAATCCCCCACTCCTCCTGGGAAAAATGTATGGCCACGTCCTCAAAAACCATACAATCCTGCCAAAATTATGACAGTTTAGTCCACGAGCAACTTTTTTTTTTTTAGATGGAGTCTCGCTGTGTCGCCAGGCTGGAGTGCAGTGGTGCGATCTTGGCTCACTGCAAGCTCTGACTCCCGGGTTCAAGCAATTCTCCTGCCTCAGCCTCCTGAGTAGCTGGGATTACAGGCACGCGCCACCATACCTGGCTAATTTTTGTATTTTTAGTAGAGATGGGGTTTCACCATGTTGTTCAGGCTGGTCTAGAATTCCTGACCTCGTGATCTGTCTGCCTCGGCCTCCCAAAGTGCTGGGATTACAGGCATGAGCCACCGTGCCCGGCCCACGAGCAACTTCTTATTCTGTTTCCTTAGATCTGTATTTATCTACTTGAAATCTAAGAATCAGAGGACCAAAATAACAACCAGCATTTTAACATTTCTCTTATAATTCAGATCCCATAGTCTGAATTGCTTCCTATCTAACAATCACACATGATTATTTCTCCTGCCCTAAATCAACACAAGGCTTGTACCACAAAAGGAGGGATAGTCCCTATACCCAAGGCTGCCAAAATCATGCAAACCACCCAGTCTTAAGCTCTTTGCTCTCCCCTGCATGCCTTTCCAGTCAAAACCCCAATAAAGCCTCTGATGTATGCTCTCCCTTCAATTGTGCATCTGCCACCTGACCAAATCCGCAATTTCCTCTGTGGCTTTAGGCTGTGTGGCATGCCCCCTTCACTCAGGAAATGAAAGGAATAAAAATCATTTCATCCAGATATGATTTTTCACCAATCGAAGAAAAAAATTATTCCAGTGTCATTGGCTTTTCTCTAATCACTCACTCTTGTTCATAGATTGAACAAGATTGTATCCTCTGGGTACAATCACTGATATACTTCCCTCTCCAAGACCTTCAGTGCTCCTCACCACATCCACACACATCCATCCCCTGCTCAGCCTCCACCCACTTCTCAAGGACGAAGACACACTAGGTCTTCGTGGCACCTGTACCTGCTCTCCTCTCATTGCCACTGATCACTGACTCCAGCATAGAACAAAGATGAGTGGGGAGAGACTGAAAAGCGCCATCAAAACACAGCACATGGCCGGGCACGGTGGCTCATGTCTGTAATCCCAGGACTTTGGGAGGCCGAGGCAGGTGGATCATGAGGTCAGGAGTTCAAGATCAGTCTGGCCAAGATGGTGAAACCCCGTCTCTACTAAAAACACAAAAATTAGCCAGGCATGGTGGCAGGTACCTGTAATCCCAGCTACTCAGGAGGTTGAGGCAGAAGAATTGCTTGAACCTGGGAGGCAGAGGTTGCAGTGAGCCGAGATCGCACCACTGCACTCCAGCCTGGGTGACAGAGCTAGACTCCATCTCAAAAAACAAAACAAAACAAAACACTTGGCACATGGGGGCCTTTCTTTTGTCACTCAATTTCCCTAGAGTCACCCAGATCTTGCCTCTCAGATAACCAAACTTGGACTCACCCTCCTCCCTTAAGTGCCCAGTGCCAGAGGTGGAACCATCTATTCATGCTCTTCTACTCACACTTTGGATGGCACCTTCCACATGTATCCAACACCTCCACTCTTCCAACACTAACAACCACCACAGCCCAACCGGGATTATTTCCATGGCCTGCTACCATGCCACTCTGCACATGAAATCCTGCAGTGCATGACAAATGCAACCAAAATCCTATTTGTCCCTGGACTGACCAGAATGCAATGTTTAGGAAACATTGCTTTGAAGGTCTCTGAACCCAGTCCTGTTTCTTGCTTTGACCTCGGCTTTCCAAACCCACATATTCTTGCACACCTCCTTTGATTTCCAGATCTTGGCTGTCTCCCACTTCTACATGTATATGCTGTCCCACAAGCAGTCACGACTTTCTCTATCCCCCAGCTCTAATCCAAAGCCCAGATACACCGACCTCCCCAATGCCATTCCCACCCCAGGCCTAGCAATGCTTCTAGCTGATCCCATCTTCTGCCAAAATAGTCTCAGAGTTCACAAGAAACTACCCAGGTACAACCAAGACTTGCCACAAAACCCTGCTGAGTCCATAACAGGGTAATAAGCCCCTCCCAGACCTCACTACCATCTCACCTCTTTTGTGGAGACGCCTCACCATCCATCTTACATGCCCTCTCCCGCTCAAAAGCCTCTTATTTTCCAAAGGCCGTCCCCAACATAAACACAAATACACACACACGTATCCTCAGTCCATCTACTCCCTCATCTGTCTTTGTGATGCCCAGCAACACTACCAAGGTGCTCAATAGAAAGATCCAGTCCTCAGCTTCTTCCTTCCCCTTCCTTCTCCCTGACAGCATCGCCTCCAGAATCTAAAGATGTTTCTTCCTAAATCTGACCCATAGATTTACCATGGTGTACACACCAGCTATCATGTAGTAGATGTCTCCATCCTGAACACCTCCAATGAACTCCATTTCTGTGTGTTCCTGGCACCTCTACATGAGTTTCTGGAACATTTTTGACTTGGCCCAAACCTGGTTCTTCATATGCTCTATTAAACTCCCCCTACTACAAAATTTACCACATCTTAGTTGCTGGAACATCCAATCTTCTCAACAAGGCCAAAACTATGGGGCCATTCCCGATTCCCTCTTGCATCCTACCTCCCCAGCTTCCTTGCTCTGTACATCAAAAAATGTGAGCTGCTCTAGATCAAAACCTACAGAAGCCACCCAACCCTTCCACCTCCACAGCCACCACTCGTGTCCAGCCACCACTAACCTCCACTGGACTGTGGCAGGAATTATCACCCAGGTATCCTTTGTTCTTCCCTAACCCTCACTCTGTCCTCCATTCTGCAGGCAGAGGAAGCGTCTTAGAATCTAGGCCAAATGACCTATTTTTTCTTTCTCAAAACTTCCCTAGCTACTAACCCCCTCAGATTAAAGACCTAGAACCACCGAGCACAGTGGCTCACACCTGCAATCCCAGCACTTTGGGAGGCTGAGGCAGGCAGATTGCTTGAGGCCAGGAGTTCGAGACCAGCCTGGCCAACAGGGTGAAACCCTGTCTCTACTAAAAATACAAAAATTAGCCGGGTGTGTTGGCTCATGCCTGCAATCCCAGCTACTTGGAAGGCTGAGGCAGGAGAATTGCTTGAACCCGGGAGACGGAGGTTGTAGTGAGCCGAGATTGCGCCACTGCACTCCAGTCTGGCGACAGAGCGAGACTCTGTCTCAAAAACAAAACAAAACAAAAAACAAAACCTAGACAACCTCAGGCTGCCATTCCATGCCTGATCCCTGCATGCCCCGACCTCCTGCCCTGCTGCTGTGCTCCTTATCCTTGCCAGCTAGAACATTAAGCTACAGTTCTCTAAGCATCCCATCTAAGTCTCACCACCAAGCATTTGAACATTCTGGATCCTGTGTTTGAGATGTCCTGCCAAATCTCAAACCATCAGTTGTGAGAACTAGAACCACTCTATATAACCAGGGACTGAGTTTGGAACCCAGGTCTGGTGAAACTACAGGCTCTCCTTGGACCCAAGGGAGAAAGAAGAAAAGGTGAACAGTCTCAGGATAACACCATTCCCTATATCAGCATGCTGAAACCATCTGGGATGGGTGAAAGCTGGAAACACTCTCCACTCACCTGTCCAGCATCCATAAGCACTGCTGCCACTGCTATGAACCCTGTGGGAAGAGGCAGGCCATGAGGATTAAGACAGCATTGCAGCATCCTACAGGCTGACTGCATAACCACCTCTGGCCCTGCAACTAGAGCAAAGTTATCTCAGGCTACACAGTAAGTCCTCAGGGTTCACAGTCTTGACGAGGATTGAACTTCCTTGAGTCTCAGTGCCCTTATGTGTAAAATAGAGATTAAAAGGACTGCCAACTAATAGGGCTTATATTGGCACCAAACATAAGTAGTACACACTATGTATCAGCAATTTCTTTCTACTGGATTAAATATTTTGTACAAGTTTTCAGCACAAATGACATGGAAGGGTTTTGAAATTTTGGGTGTGTATTTTTCCCACTTCTTACAGTGTTAAGCAAATGTGATACATAAAACTTTCCACTGCAAGCAAATAGAAAAATTAACATTCAGCCGGGTGCGGTGGCTCACGCCTGTAATCCCAGCACTTTGGGAGGCCAAGGTGGGTGGATCACGAGGTCAAGAGATCAAGACCATCCTGGCCAACCATGCTGAAATCCTGTCTACTAAAAATACAAAAATTAGCTGGCATGGTGGCGTATGCCTGTAATCCCAGTTACTCGGGAGACTGAGGTAGGAGAATCGCTTGAACCTGGGAGGCAGAGGCTGCAGTGAGCCGAGACCGCGCCACAGCACTCCAGCCTGGCGACAGAGTGAGACTCCGTCTCAAAAAAATAAAAAAAGAAAAAACGAAAAAAGAAAAATTAACATTCAACAACTATTAAGTGAATAAATTTAACTATTGGTTACATTCATTTCTAACTGCCGACCTCTGTGTACATGTTTAGAAGGATATTGGTTCATTAGTGGTTAAAGAAATGTTTTATACATTCATAAATAAATAAGTTGTAGGGAGAGGATAAGCAAGCAGGTCAGTTCCTAGTCCCATCAGCAACCAGGCCTGCCTGCTACAAATTCAGTTGCTGGAAGATCGCTGGAGGCCCTTGACTAGATATGAGAAAGCCCTACCCACGTCTGGACCCAATCTCCCCACTAGTCTGGATGACCTTCCTGCTGTTCCACAGAGTGGGCCTGGGGGTCTGCTGGGTCTGCAGGTGCCGAAATCTAAACCACCTCACACCTCAGTCTCCAGCCTAGGCCAGTTCTTTAACCCATTCAGAACTCCGTTTTTGCAGACACGGCCCAGAATCCTTCCTATGACAAGTTTGCACCTGTCTAAAGGGAGTGTCAGGCTTATGGACCCAACCATGACCTGCCTTCCAAAACTCAGTCCTCCAAAAATGCAAATTGTAATCCTCTCTGAAACCTGCTCCTTAAGCCGATTTCTCCAACTCCATTCTATCAGATTTTCAGGCCAAAACAAAACCCATGGAATAGACTCTTCACTACCCTCACTGCTATATTTGATGCACCAGGAAATCCTGTCGACTGTCTCTCTGAGATCCACCCAGAATCTCATCACACTTCCCCTCTACTGCAACTCCTCTGGCCCATCCCTACCATAACTCAAGGGGTCTCCTCAGCGGTCCCCTTGTCCTACTTTAACATCCTGTTTTCCCCAACTTTAAACGTCTACCTCTGGGCGTAACCCTTCCTGCACAGCCTGCTATGGCTTTCAGCAGCTCAGCGGCCCTCCCAGGCGAGACTCCGCCTCACTCTCAGCTCCGTGGAGACAAAGACGCTCGGGCTCCCCAGTGCCGCCCGCTCTGCAGCCTCGCAAGTGCAGGTCCCTGACAGGAGCTCCCCCGCCGCACAGCACCGCGGACACCGGTACCCCACACGAGAACGCCCCTCTCTTTGGGACACAGGGGCCTGACCTGCAGGGCCCCTCCTCGGGGCTTCGGCACTCGGAGGAGGGGTCTGGCGGGGCGCCCTGGGACGCGGCACCCACCTCAGTCAGGTTCATCGGCGCGGCCTCCGCTAGCACAGCCAGGGAAGAGAGGGGCGGGAGCGGCGGTGACCTGGACGCTGTCGAAGGCACCGACGCCTACACCCGACTCAGTCGAGCCTCACTCTAGCCTCTGTACAGCGGGGAAACCTTTTCTCGCGTTTTTCCGCTCTTTCACCTCAGTCTCGACTCAGCCTGAGGGTGAACAGATCCCCACTCAACCATATTGACACCACCCTGGGGCGTTGCAGGAAGTCCCGCCCACACGCAGTACGAACCCACGTAGACGCCTCTCTGCTAGGCCTTCATTGCTAAGCAGCTACACTCGCTGCTTGTGTCCGCCGCTGTGTCTTTTGGGTAGTGTAGTTCCCACGCCGCTGCCTGCCCCGCCTGTGAACCTAGGTAACTCGCGTTCAGGATGAAAGCCAGGAGGATCCTCCAGAGGTGTTGAGAAATGCAGTTACGGGGCTCCAAGGACGTGGAGGGCTTCACTGGCTTTTAAACGGCAAGCATCCAGATTTTCCCGGAAGGCAGTCTAGAACAAGTCAGAGAAATGTTTCAGAGACCTGCCCTTTCAGATTCTGTAAAGCACAGCAAGTTCACGAAGGACGAACGTCCGAAGGAACATGGCCAACCATAATGAACTGATCTTCCACGCATAGCGATCAGTTCTTTTGTGCTTGCCAAATACACACAGAACGAAGCTCTGGAGACTGTTTTATAATCTTCAATGTGCTCTGCTGGGACAAGAAAAGACCCAGACATGGCATGATGGGGAGTTTGAGGAGGAATATCTTTCCTTTCTGAATAATCAGTTACTGTCTTTCAGCCTACCCAGTAACACTTCATTCACATGATACTTATTACTTTATATCTGAGATATTTTCCACTTACTTTAAGAAACTGAAACCTAACTGAAAAGGAAAAGCGACTTATCTACCATTATCTGCCAGAATAATGTGACCTTCCACCAGTCAAAGCCCTTGTGCAAAGAAAGCATCTTACTCCTGAGATAAAGGTTTGGGAATGCATGATCTCATCTCATCACTGGAAAGTGATTTATCATTTCGCCTGAAATTGTATCAACAGTGTCTGCACAGGGAGTTGAAATCGTCTCTGAATAACTCTTGTGAAATGGCTATTACTGAAACTATTAATGATGATTATGTAGTTATCCAAAGAAACTGGCAAAAATAGTTATAGAGAAATATATCTGTGATAGGAGGAAAAAAGCTAAGGTTGTCCTAGAACCTTGGACACACTCAAATTTGGTGTGCAAAATCTGATTATTTTTCAAACTTGAAAACATTGTGCATTAACAGCTTGAAGGGAGAGGTAAAGACTATACATTAAAAGAGTTACCAGAAAAATAAAACTGAATAGGGAAACTGTGCTGTCGTATTTATTACTCTAACATGTCTGATGAACACTCATTAGATGCCAGGTACAATACTAAGTGCATGGGACACATCAGGAATAGGGATGCCAGCTGTCTGTGATCCTATAAGACATGTAAGACATATTTAATGAATTAGTCCTCAGTCCTGTATTGACTTTGTCAGGTCACTTTAAATGTCCTGTATTCAGCTTTTTACAATAAATTACAAAACCTCAGAAGTCAGAGCTATTTTTCTACCACTATAATTGTAAATTAAATCACTTAGTGGCTATGTTAAATTAATTTAATTGTAAAATAAATTTTATTAAAATAAAATTTAATTGTAAAATGAATTTTATTAAAATAAAATTTAATTGTAAAATAAATTTTATTAAAATAAAATTTAATTGTAAAATAAATTTTATTAAAATAAAATTTAATTGTAAAATAAAAAAAAAATTAATTGTAAAATAAATTTTATTAAAATAAAATTTAATTGTAAAATAAATTAAAAAAATTATTAAAATAAAATTTAATTGTAAAATAAATTTTATTAAAATAAAATTTAATTGTAAATTAAATCACTTAGTGGCTATGTTAGCTGAAAATCATACCCCTACAAATAAAGATATGGACATAGTCTTGTGATCTCTCCTGCAGAATTGGTGAGGGAAAAATGAAATGGAGCACTGAGATATTCAGTAAAAGAGAAGACTGTATTTTGGCCAAAGTCTTGAAATTTGGTTTATCAAATTACAAAAAGAAGGAAGGAAGGAGAGAGAAAGAAGGAAAGGAAAGGAAAAGAAAAGAAAAACCAGCCAACTGAAGGTCTGGAAGAGTTAAAGCTGCTCAGGAGTGCCAGCTACAGGGAAGCTAAGACAGGAGGATTATTTGAGTTCATGAGTTCAAAACCAGTTTGGGCAATATAATGAGATCCCCGTCTCTGAAAAAATTGAAAATTAAAAATATGTTAATCATTTACCAACAATACATCCCTACCATCCTACAATTTATTTCTAGATATTTACCAAGAGAAATTAAATAAACTTTTTTTTTTTTTTTTTAAAGACAGAGTCTCTCTCTGTCGCCCAGGCTGGAGTGCAATGGCGCAATCTCAGCTCACTGCAATCTCTACCTCCCAGGTTCAAGTGGTTCTCCTGCTTCAGCCTCCTGAGTAGCTGGGATTACAGGCATGGCCACCACGCCTGGCTGATTGTTGTACTTTTAGTAGAGATGGGGTTTCACCATGTTGGCCAGGCTGGTCTTGAACTCCTGGCCTCAGATGATCCACCCGCCTCAGTCTCCCAAAATGCTGGGATTACAGGCATGAGCCACCTCGCCTGGCCCAAACATCCATCTAATACTTGGTGACAGGCCACATATCTTTGAATATACCAAAAAGTTAAAAATTATCCAAGCATGGTAGTGTGCACTTGTAGTCCCAGCTACTGGGGAGGCTGAAGTGGGAGGATTGCTTGAACCTGAGAGGTGGAGGCTGCTGTGAGTGAAGATCACGCCACTGCACTCCATCCTGGGTGAAAGAATGAGATCCTATCTCAAGAAAAAAGCAAAAAAATCTAAACCTTGCATGCCTAAAACCATAAAACTGGGCACACTTAGATATTTCAAATGTCTTCTCTGAGTCCCTGAACTCACTCAATTTTGACTTATAATCTTTATGAAATAGAAAGCTTGAAATTTACATCTAATTATATTAATTTGTTTTTCATGTAACATTTTGTGCACTCTGGGATCAAAGAAAGACTTATTAGAGGGTGAATTCTGAGATCATTTTGCGGGTCTCCCTCTAAAATTGTTTTCTTTCCATTTTCTATTTCTTACTCCCTGTTTGACCTTTGTTAATTTTAATTTTTTCTGACATGAGTAGCTTGGTTGGAGGGTAATATGAGATGGTGCTTATGAATGCTCCTAACTGCGGGCATGTCACATCATAGGTATTAAATATAAATAAAGTTTTCTCCTCTGTTCTTTCTGTATTGTTGTATCTTCATTTCTTTTTCTTCTCTCTCCTTTTCTTTAAACTCCTAGTTTTGCTTGATTTTTTTCCCATACTCTAATCTGTAGGAGACAAAAATTCTAAACATCCCATTCTCAATTGCAAAATAAACTTTTAAAATCCCCCAGAGATTGCACAACCTAGTCCACCATGGGAAACACCTGAGCAGTCCTCCTAGGGCACTGAGGTTAGGCCTAAACACCCTATTGTGCCCACTTCAGCCATCTCCTGCCTGAGAGCGCCATCTGCTGTCTGTTAGCCAGAACATCCCAGCGCTGGGTAAGAGGACTCCCTGATCACCGCTGGATGACCCTGGCCTGCCTTCTCCGGGGATGCCCTCAGAACGCTCACGCCCCAGCCGCTGCAGCCCCTGAGGGTGAGAGGACTCCCTGATCACCGCTGGATGACCCTGGCCTGCCTTCTCCGGGGATGCCCTCAGAACGCTCACGCTCCAGCCACTGCAGCCCGGAGGGAACACAAAGAGCTGTGAGGATGCCCCGGCTCCTCCACTTCCCTTCTCGCGGTTGGAATCGGGGTGCTCACTCCCCTCCTCTATATTTTTTTCCCTCCCGGCCCCCAGTATGAGAAAAGCCTCCTCAAAACCCCTCCAAACACCCCTCTCACATATCTCATCCTGAACCTCCAAGCCCTAGGCTTCACGGATTTCATTAAAACTGAACACCTTATTTTCCTCTGTAACGGGGCCTGGCCCCAGTATAAACATCCAAGACCTCTGAGCCTTAGGCTTGGCAAACTCCATTAAAACCAAACACCTTGGCCGGGCGCGGTGGCTCAAGCCTGTAATCCCAGCACTTTGGGAGGCCGAGACGGGTGGATCACGAGGTCAGGAGATCGAGACCAACCTGGTGAACATGGTGAAACCCCGTCTCTACTAAAAAATACAAAAAACTAGCCGGGCGAGGTGGCGGGCGCCTGTAGTCCCAGCTACTCGGGAGGCTGAGGCAGGAGAATGGCGTGAACCCGGGAGGCGGAGCTTGCAGTGAGCTGAGATCCGGCCACTGCAACTCCAGCCCGGGAGACAGAGCGAGACTCCGTCTCAAAAAAAAAAAACAAACAAACAAACAAAAAAAAACCAAACACCTTATGTTCCTTTGAAATGTGGCCTAGCCCCCAATGTAAACTGGACAATAATAGTCAACGGCTGGAAAACAAAACATTCAACTTCCAATTTAACGTGATTTAGAAAATTTCCTCCAACGCAATGACAAGTGGTCCAAGGTACCCTACATCCAGGCTTTTGCCTGCCTTTGTTTGTGCCTTTCCCTCTGTAAGTCCTGTTCACCTTACAGATTCTGCTCTTAAATGAGAAGCCTGCCAAAATGCCTCCCCTTCCAGACAAGCCCTCCTCCTCTGATTTTGATCCCACTGATGAAACCACTCCACTAGCCCAACTTCCACCACCCTCTCCTCCTCCTCCCCCTTTGGCTCACATACCCCCTTATCCCTGTCTTCCATCTTCCCTTCCCTCTCCCCATCATACCCAATCTTGTATCAAGCCCCCTTCCACTGAAAACCAGACACATGCCCAAAGGGCCTGCAAAGTTCTCCTCTTGGGGGAAGTCGCGGGGACCCAAGGCATAGTTCAAGTTCATGTTCCTTTCTCCCTAGCCAGCCTCTCCCACCTTGAAAAGAGATGTGGCTCCTTTTTCACAAATCCCACCTCCTTCCACAAGGAATTTCTCTATGTCACTCAATCTTAGGACCTTACCCGGCATGACATTTATGTTATCCTCTCCTCCTCCCTCACCCTGGAGGATAGGGAACGTATCTAGACAGCCACCAGGCCCAGGCAGACAGCATGATGCTGCATGATGCCTTCACCAACAAGATGCTGCTCATAATGCAACAG